ATCCATTAAGATATAAATTACCTAACATTTAAGTTTACCAAACTTGTATTAGAATTTAAAACAAAATTATAAAAATAAGTAAAAAAGCAACGCTTCTTTTTAATGCATTATTCAAACATTTTAGGGCATAAAAGAATTTATTTAGAGTATTTTTAGGTTTTTTTTTTTTTAATTCCAGGAATTATTGTTGTATTTTAATTTATAATTTACAGATATACTTTATTTGATATTATTTTAATTATTTTTGCTTTTGATTAATTAATTCATAATATTTTCTCATAAAATGTTCTATTCGTTTTAAATTCTGATTGCACTATGCTCTGCCTATTGAACAACCCTGCACCCTTTAAATCCAGTTTCTCCAATGCCTTTTAATTAAGTTTAATTAACTGATAAAATGAAATAGTTTTTACTAAAGAAACAAAACGTTAAACATTCAAGGACAATTTTATGAAAATTGGTTTAAAAGTTAGAATAAGAAAAAGTTAGAAGTGTAGAATACAGTGTAAAACTTGATTGTTTTTTCTGTGGGATTAATATCAGTTAAATGAGAAAAATATTGGACAACTAGATTAGACATTCTCTCAATTGGGTTTTGATAATATTAAGGAACTAACAAATTTAGAATACTTTCGCTTTCCATGCTACGCAACTTTATTGCTTTTAACTGTGAATTATCAGGTGTTMTTATAGACAGAAACAATAAAATTATTTATCAAGATAACAATAACACAATATTGTAAAAACGTTAATGCCGTTAATGGTAGTAATACGATAGAAACGCCTTAGTCAAACAAGCCGGTGGAGGTATAAATAACAAAAACGATGACGTACTTAGTCTTTGGCGAGTGTACAAACAACACTTAGCGTTATTCTATATCCGGCAGCTGTGCACCCAAAAAAAAAAGTCTTCCCCATTTTCATTTTTCAGATGTACCAACATTTGTGAGCAAACATTTTCCAGCAGGAACTTTATTTAAAAAAATTCGAAAGCTGACATTACTGAATGTTGTCAGCCTCGAATTTCTTGTTTAAAGTTAATAATTAGTGTAATATCAATTTATTTTTAGATTCTGAACGAAGTGATGAATGTATTGATTTTACAATGATGTGTGTGTTTTTTTTTTTTTT